AGTTGCCCAGCCACTCCACCAGGCCCAGCCAAGTTGACACACAAACATAACCACCACACATATATAAAAAGACAAGAAAAAACAAATGTACACAGACCAAAGTTTATTAGGGGTTACCAGGGGTGGGAGGGTAGGGGGAAGTCATCAGAGAGATGCAAATCAAAAAGGGGAAAGGAGGTATATTGCTTTCTGAACACTGATAAGAAAATTAGGGGGCAGTGAGTTTACGTTAATGGAGGAGGAACAACTCGGAAAAGGAGGCAAAGAATGGTTGCCCAACTTGAAGAATGTCGTCAATGTTACTGATTGGTACTGGTAGAAACTGTTGATATTGGTGTATGTTCTGCTGAATTTTATTCTCAAAAACAACCACCACAAAATTACTTACTGAGCACCTACTATGCCACACAAAGTGAACAAAGCTGACAGAAACCTTGACTCTTGAATGGGTAATATTCTTTCAAAGGAGATAGCCCATGTGATGTCACAGTCATAGGTGCTCTGAACAAATACAATGCAAGATTAACACAGAGAGACGTACTGGGAGCAGGGGAGGGGCCGGTCTTGATGGAGGGCTCAAGGCTGGCTCTCTGAGGAGGTGATTCTGAACAGAGGCCCGAACTACTGGAAAGACAGTGCCAAAACGGAGAAGATGATAGATAGGTAGGTAGGTAGATAGACAGATAGATATAGAGATATAGACAGATATAGGTATGGATGTGTTCAAACTGTGGTGTTGGTGAAGAATATTGGTTAACCTGGACTAGTGGAAGAGTAAGCAAACCTGCATTATTAGAAAACACACTGGTTTGTTTCTTAGAAACAAGGATGGTGCAAGTAGTCTTCTGAGCACTAGAAAAGGATACTGCTTTGGTAAAGCATAGGGCCAATGAAAATGAGAGGAACTCTTAGTGAGATGGAGTGACACCATAGTCACAAGAATGAACTCAAACAGCAATTATCATGAAGATGGTAGAGGGTCAGAGCCCACTCAAAGACAACTAACAACAACAACAACAACAACAAGGCACATGTAGCTGAAGGGGCTGGTAAACATAAGATTGAGTGGAAAAATAATTTACCCAAAGTTATATAAAGGTAGGTCTCCAAGCTCTAAGGCTAATCCTTTTCCTCAACATACACATAAATCTCCACAAAATAGTGTACGAAGCGTGTTTCAACAGTCAAGTTGCTTGATGTCATATCTCATGAGTCCAGTGGACTTGCAGTCAGAAGGTCAAAGTTAAAGTCTGGTTCTGCCACTTGCTTGTGCAAGCCATGCAACTCAAAGCAGAGAAGATCTTGAAGATGTTTCCTTCATGCTTGGCTTGGCTCTTCTCCCAGATGCTTGTTACAGGATACAAAGTGGAATTCGTTTTCCTCTTTTCCTCAATTCTGTTAGTTGCTCAGTGTTTCCTAATCACCAAACCCTAAGTATCGTGTGATAGGGTCTTCTACATGTAGAGTTAGGTGCTGGATCATATATGCAGGACTTACAAAAGAGGCAACCAAGAATCAGTAGAGTGACTTGGAGGTATAAAAGGGTTAACCTAACCCAAGCCCACTGCCATTGAGTTGATGCTGACTCACAGAGACCCGCATACGGTCTCCAAGGCTGTAAATCTTTCTGGAAGCAGACTGCCTGGTCTTTCTGCCACAGAGCTGCTAGTGGGTTTGAAGCCCTGAACTTTTGGTTAGCAGCCCAATGCCCTTACCACAGAGCCACCAGAAAGCAGGAAATGAGAGAATTTCTTAGGAGGAAGTTATTAGTAAGCTGAGAATCCCACTTCCTACATGATAAGCTCCCTATCCTCCCAGAAGGTGTGAGTAATGCCACATCCCACCTGAAGCCTACCAAGAGGGGCTTCCAGGAGACCACTCAGAGAAGCTTATTGTAGGTGACCTAGAACCTTGGAGGGGTGTAGTGGCCTGGTGACTGACACACATACCTAAGAAAACTACAGTTGAAAGGTTGTGGTTGTCAGTCTGAGGCCTCAGAGGGAGACAGACAGAGACTGACAGACACACACAGTCAGAGACAGAGAATCACAGTGACCAAGAGCTTTCCCTCTCATGAGCCAGATGTGGGCCACGCCTGAGACTGAGCCAAACAGCAGCTACTTTAAATCTTGCTCTCCCAGGGCTTCCTGGAAGGATAAGGTATCCCCAACGGTGAGGTCAATGGCAGGGTTCCTAGGGGCTGAGGGAAGAAACCTAAGGAGCCAGGGGAAGGAAAACATATCCTCCACACCTGAGTGCTGCCCAATGTCCCTACGCAAGTGCTCAAGGAGGAGTCAGGACTTTGACATCACGCAGCTCAGAGAGAGGCCAAGTGGAGGCCCAGGCCCAGTTACGCCAGTGCTTCTCCCTCACCCATCAGCCAACACTGAATGGGCCGGAAACCACTGTCATCAAGCTGGAAACGGGAGGAGAAGCACAGGCAGAAAACGAGGCGCTCACTCCTCACCAAATGCTGCTGGGGAGGGAAGACATTTTACCTCAGAATGAAGTTTTCATTATCCCTCATAGTACTTTAAAATTGAAGCAGTTTACCTGACTAAAGTGACAGAAGGGCTTTTTGTTATCTAGGAGTGAGCCAATAAGGCCAGGGCCTGCCCACAGTTTCATACAGGATTAAGAAAGAATTAGCCCTCAGAGTAGGACTGAACAGGAGTGAATGTGTAGGGGAGAGCATAAAGCTGTCCTCTATGTGTACCTTGAGTCCTGCTCCTTCAAAGGACTGTTGGCACACTCCCTACCCTACCCAGAAAAAAGAAGAAAAACCAAACAGATTCCCACTCGGTCCCAGGCTGAGATGGTCCATTAGCTGCTCACCCAGGCTGCTACGCCTCAGGCTAATGGCCCTACCACCACGCCCTTCTTTTCCGCTTCCAGCTCATTGCCCATCTCGGGCATCCTTACTCAACCCTGGGAAGGGGACTCGAGCCTCAGAGACATCTGGCAACACCAAGAGGTGAGTCCCTCTTTGTATGGTTCCTCTTTCCACCAACGGTTACTCCTCAAACCCCCAACCACCCTGCCTAGGGTGCCCTCAGGTCTGCTAAGGTCTTCTTTTCCCAAGACACTGATGGGACCTGGCTTGCCCTTGGACTTTTCTCTGGGTAACCTCTCTGCCTGCTTCTCACCAAAACCTCCATCTGATCCAGAATCCCAACTTCTCATCCGCTCAGCCGGGGGTCCCCACCAACCCTTAATCATCTGTTCTCCACTGTTGGGGCATAACTCGTTCTGTGGCGTAGTGCCTAAGGCATTTGACTTTTGACCAGAAGGCTAGCGGTTCAAACCCACCAGCCACTCCTCAGAAAGAGGCAATCTACTTCCCTAGAGATACTTCCTCAGAAACCCAAAGGGGAGTCACTAGGAGTCGAATTGTCTTGAGGGGAGTGAGTTTGGTTTTTTTAGTTTAGTGAGCGGGGAGTAAATGCAGGCATCTAATTTCCCTTCCAAAGTCACATACCATCAGGCCTGACTCTGTTCTGAATTTTCTCTGCTTCTTCTCTCTCCAGAGCCCCAGAAATCCAGAGGTGGCATAGTGGTTAAAGCATTCAGCTGTTTGGCAGCTAACCAAACCAGCTAACAGGTCAGCCGTTGGAACCCACCAGCCACTGGGGGGGGTGGGGGTGGTGATGGTAGAAAGATGAGACAGTCTGCTTTAATAAAGATGTTGTTGTTGTTGTTATGTGCCGTCGAGTCGGCCCCGACTCATAGCGACCCCTCCTTGGGTTTCCGAGGCAGTATCACTACGGAAGTAGGATTGCCCAACCTTCCTTCCGAGGAGTGGCTGGTGGGTTTGAACCGCCAGCCGTCTGGTTAGCAGGCAAGTGTCTTAGCCTCTATGCTACCAGAGCTCCCTAATAAAGATGTACAGCCTCAGAAACCCTATGGGGCAGTTCTCCTCTGTCCTCTAGGGTGAGTCAGAATGGACGTAATGGCAGTGGGTTTCCTCATATGGGATGAGCATGCCTGTGTTCTATCTTCTTCTACACAGTGTTGCTTTCTTCATTTTAAAAGGTAATATGATGGAAGGAGCTGTGGTGGCGTAGTGCCTAAGGCATTTGACTGCTAACCAGAAGGCTGGCAGTTCAAACCCACCAGCTACTTCTCGGAAGGAAGATGGGGCAATCTACTTCTGTAGTGATACCACCTCGGAAACCCAAGGAGGGGTTTCTATGAGTCGGATCCAACTCCATGGCAGTGAGAGTGATGGAAAGATAGCAAAGGGTTGAAGGCTAACCCTGACTCTTAGTAAATTACTGTCACCGCCCTCTAGAGGTCCCCATTTATTCCACTACCTCACTCACTACTTGGTTCTAATACTGCAAACTGAAAAAAAAACACTGCCATCGAGTGGATTCTGACTCAAAGCAACCCTACAAGACAGCAGAAGTGCTCCATAGGGTTTCCAAGGCTGTAATCTTTATGGAAACAGGCTGCCTCATCATTCACCTGCACAGTGCCTAGTGGGATCGAACTGCCAACCTTTTGGTTAGTAGCCAAATGCCTTAATCACTGCATGACCACAGTTCCTTTTCTAACTCTCCAAGCACCTCTAAAACCAGTTTGTTATTCCAGGAGCTCCTCTTCTTTGATGCTGTGAGACCTGAGGACACGGAGCGTGTTGAACGCAGAGAGCTGGGGAGGCCAGCCCCCTGACCCCATGGACTTGCCTCCACAGCTCTCCTTTGCCCTCTATCTGGCCGCCTTTACGCTGGGCTTCCCACTGAATGTGCTGGTTATCCGAGGTGCTGTGTCCCATGCCCGGTTCCGCCTTACCCCCAGCCTTGTCTACGCCCTGCACCTGGGCTGCTCTGACCTCTTGCTGGCAGTCTCTCTGCTCCTGAAGGCCGTGGAGGCCCTGGCTGGGGGAGCCTGGCCTCTCCCAGTCTTCCTCTGTCCTCCTTTTGCCCTGGCCCATTTTGGTCCCCTCTATGCAGGTGGGATCTTCTTGACTGCCCTGAGTGCTGGCCGCTACCTGGGAGCAGCCTTCCCCTTGGGGTACCAAGCTGCCCGGAGGCCATGCTACTCCTGGGGTGTGTGTGTGGCTATATGGGCCATTGTCCTCTGTCACTTGGGGCTGGTCTTTGGGTTGGAGGGTCCAGGAGGTTGGATGGACAATACCACCAACTCCCTGGGCATCAACACACCAGTCAATGGCTCTCCAGTCTGCCTGGAGGCCTGGGACCCGGCTTCAGCTGGCCCTGCTCGCCTCAGTCTCTCCCTCTTGCTCTTCTTCCTGCCCTTGACCATCACGGCCTTCTGCTATGTGGGCTGCCTCCGGGCACTAGCCCACTCAGGTCTGAGCCACAGACGGAAGCTGAGGGCAGCCTGGGTAGCTGGTGGGGCTCTGCTCACCCTGCTGCTCTGCCTAGGGCCTTACAATGCCTCCAATGTGGCTGGCTTCCTGCACCCCAGCATGGGAAGTGGCTGGCGGAAGCTGGGACTCATCACAGGTGCCTGGAGTGTTGTGCTCAACCCACTGGTGACTGGCTACTTGGGAGGGGGGACTGGCAGGTGGATAGCATGCATGGCAAAAATGCAAGAGATGACATCCCGGAAGCAGTAGCTACTGCTGAGGGGGAGGGGAGCCGAGCAGGGGAGTCAGGCTGCTTCTCCAGGACCCTGGTGGGAGCAGTCTTGCCTGGAGGCATCCCTGAAGACACTCACACAGAAAGGGCCAAGTCTGGCAGAAGATGGTATCTCAGTCGGGAGAGAAGAACAGGGGAGAGAAGAATGGAGACCAGGAGTGGAGCCACAGGAGGAAGGTAAGCTTACCTGGGCTGGGCTCCATGGCCCTGTCTCTCCTTTTCTCATGACCTTTCCTGTCTTTCTCCAGTGTGCTATGGACAGAGACCCTATGTTTCTGGGAAAGGAGAAGAGAAGCTTGGCTCTCCTCTGGAGGGCATGCCACTCTGATGATACAATTTTGGTAGCACAGTGGTTAAAGCATTTGGCTGCTAACCAAAATGTCAGCCGTTTAAACCCTCCAGGCACTCCGCAGGAGAAAGATGAAGTAGTCTGCTTCCGTAAAGATTTATAGCCTTTTAAACCTCATGGAGCAGTTCTACTTGTCCCACAGCATCACTCTTGGTAGAAATTGACTCAATGGCAATGAGTTTGGGTCTTTTGGGTTTACTCACAAATGATTTCCAAGGAAAGACGTTAATTTCTGAATAAGGGAGCAAGCAGGAGACAAGATAATGAGACTGTTGTACTTTTATGAGCTCACAAGGGGGCAGCATTAGAGCTGTGAACAGGAAGTTGCTTGGAGAAAATGCTTCAGCTTATGGAGGGAAAATACAATCAACAACAATAACAGTTGCAAACAAATATGGAGTCTTTAGTACCAGGCAAGATGCAGAGAGCTTTGCAAGGGCTGTCTCATTTCATCCTTACATAATGTTTTTATTTAGCCATGCTGCTGCTGTATGGTTGGGCAGGTTGTTCACTGCACAAGGGTGCCAGGGAGAGGGAGAAAACACTGACTAAATTCTAGCATATGCTTGGCCCACCGAGCCATGTACCTGGCGTGGGGCTGCCTCAACCCAGTGGAAGAAGCATCTTATTCTAATTTGAACAAAGTCATCACCCACTCCTCAAGCAGTTCACCTTTGGTGCAGGGAAATGCTCACCTGGAAGGGGCCCTTTTTCTAATTTGCACAAAGGTACTCTGTGCTGAAGCCAGATGTTATTACTGTCTTCATTTTAGGGGGTTAAGAAACTTGTCTGAGGCCCCACAGTAAGGAAGTGGAATGTGATCCTCCAGGGAACATTTGACAAGTCTGGGGTGTTGGGGTCAACAGCCATGCTTGTGGTCAGGTCTGTGAAGGTGAAAGATAAACTTGTGAGATAGCTGGCAGAGGAGCATGGCTGTGAAGGGGCAAACCCATCAGAGATCTGCTCTGATAAGGCAGGGGGAGGAGCCAGCCTTGTTCCTCCAATAACATCATGAACATACAGGAGCACACCACGTGTGAGCTACATGCCTGCATGCACTAACTGGTTTGCACAAACGATCTCTTTTCATGCTTGAATGTCCACAAGGGCAAGGATTTTTGTTTTATTCACTGATATGTACCCAGTGCCAAAAGAGAGCCTGGTACACAGTGGGCAATAAATAAATATTTGCTGAATGAATGGTTGCTCATAACAACTTCTGGAGCAAGTTCTGTTACCCTTGTTTTATAAATACGGAAACAGAGAGGCCAAGAAATTCAGTAACATGCCCATAAACAAACTCTCCCCCTGTGTAATTGGTGACCCCAGAGAATTCCAATGAAAGCCAAAACACCAACCCAGGTAGCCCCCTGCTCCTCCCATAATGCCAAGGACTCCTCGCTATGCACCTGCTGGCACTGGGCCACTTCTCCCAGTTACTTGAAGAGAATCAAGCTCCTCCTTGGAGCACACGACCCCCGTGAGCCCTGTATCTCGTACCAGTCTACCCAGCACATCAAATCTGTGCACCAGTAATATTTTCTCCAGTGGTTCTTTGTTTCTTTATTGTAGAATGCATGGTGTTTCATTCCTTGGTATCATTGAGTGGTATTCCATTGTGGGATACACCACATTTTACCCATTCACCAGTTGATGGCCCATCAGCTGATGTTTCCTTTTTTTTTTTTTTTTTGGCTATTCTGAATAAGGCTGCTACGAACATTTACGAGCAAGTCTTTATGTGAACAGATGTTTTCATTTCATTTCATCTCTGGGTAGATAGTTAGAAAGGGATTACTGAGCTTCATGACAAATTTAGGCAAATTTTATAAGAAATCACTGAACTATTTTCCAAAGTGGCTGTGCCATGGTACATTCTCACCAGCAGTGAAGGAGGCTTTCAATTTCTCCACATTCTCGTCAGCACTTGCTATTGTCTAACTTCTTGCTCTAAGGCATTCTCATTGTGCTCTTTAAATACTTGAAGGGATGAATAAATAATCTCCAATGCTAGACAGAACTTGGGTTTGGATGTTGGTGGCCATACTTCACAGCTATACTGCTTGGAGCAAGTCCCTTCCTGTTCTGGTTCCCTAGTGCTCCTCTGACAAGAAATATACCACAAATAGGATGGCCTTAACAAACAGGAGTTTATTCTCTTACAGTCAGGAGGCTACAAATCCGAATTCCAAGTGCCAGGCTCTAGAGCTGGGTGAAAGCTCCTCAACCTTGGGGTCCAGTTCTGTCTCCTACTCCTGTCCCACTGGAGCTAGATGTGTTTCTTCACTCAGATAGCTGCTGGCTGCTGAGGCTGAGAAGCCCCAAGGTTGACAAGTAAAGAGGCACGGTCCCGATGTTACCAAAGCACACGACAGGCCATTAACTTAGTCCATTGTAAGTCCCAAGGTCGGCAAAGCATAGCAGGCTGCTGAGCAACAACACGGCTACATATAGGGTCCAAGCGTGCCATAGGCTACAGACCATTCCCAAGGCTTCTCCTTATATCCAGGAAGCAGACCACATCCCAAAGGCAGCTACTCAGCTGCTCGTGGTAGATCCCACCATGGAGTTGATTGCCAGTCTCATCATGGGGAATACCTACCACCAGCTGCCCTGCCACTCAACCAGGCCCAGCCAAGTTGACACACACACATAACTACCACACTTCTCTACTGTGAGGCTCAAGAATTCCACAACATAAGGATGATGCCATGCGAAGGGGATTATGGATTATGTCCCCACTAGGTTGGGCAATCCTACTTCCGTAGTGATACTGCCTCGGAAACCCAAGGAGGGGTCGCTATGAGTCGGGGCCGACTCGACGGCACATAACAACAACAACAACAACAACAAAGTGTAGCTGCTATCATCGCTGTCATCATTATTAGTAGTTAGATTGCTCAGTCTTCCTTCTGAAGTAATAGTAGTGCTGTTACTCTAGAGACAAGCCCACACCAGTGATTGGGACAATGTTCATAGCTCACCACATACCAGGCTTTGTTCTAAGCTTTTTATTTATGTGCACTAATGCTTTAATCTACACAGCAATCCTATGCAATTGGTACTATGATTATCCCCCCAGGAAACTGAGACACAGATAGTTTAAGTCACTTGGCCCAAATCACAGAGTTAGTCAGTGATTGAACCGGCATTGAACCCAGACCTTCTGGCTCCAGAGCCCATGCTCTTGGAATCACCACATTGTGCTTTCTGCCCTTACAAGGCAAACTAGATTAGTACCATTCCAGAGGAACAGATAAAATTCAAGTGGAGGATCAGGGAGAAATGAAGTCTGCTCTGGTGTGGTTCAGGCATCGTATCTGAGGCCATCCGAAGAGCAGCGCACATGTGAAATTTGCTCCTCTTTTTGCATATTGATACAGCTCTGGCAAAGGAGCTAAAGGCATCTTTTGTGCTGTGGCTTAACAGTGAGTGACGTCACAGGCACTGCCAGGCCTTTATCAATTCTGCTAGATATGTAGCTAACCACACTTGTTCTGGTGTGAGCTGAGCACTTGGTTCTCCAATAAGCAGGTGAGTGGGGGGCCCTGAGGAGCTTTTTGGAGGAACAATTGAATGGGTAGGCTCATCCTCTTGACATTTTCTTTGCTGATGGAAGGGATAAGATACAGAGGATGATCAGAAAGACAGGCAGGCTGACCTTGCTAGGGAAATCGGCACAGGACACCTTGATGGGAGGAGGGTAGTAACGACATTCTCTGCTGATAGTTGAGGTGCTGCTGGCAAGGGCAGGAAGATCCCCACCAGGCTACCATCTCTGTCTCTCTCTCTCTCAACAGTGGCCACCACCATGGGCACAAACACAGACCAGTCCTTCTTCCCTGGCAACAACTGGCTCTACTTCTCTGTGTACCTCTTCACCTTCCTCGTGGGGCTCCCCCTCAACCTCATGGCCCTTGTCATCTTCGTGGGCAAGCTGCGGCGCCGCCCGGTGGCTGTGGACGTGCTCTTGCTCAACCTGACCCTCTCAGACCTGCTCCTGCTGCTCTTCCTGCCATTTCGTATGGTAGAGGCAACCAATGGCATGCAGTGGCCCCTGCCCTTCTTTCTCTGCCCGTTCTCCGGATTCCTCTTCTTCACCACCATCTATCTCACCTCCCTCTTCCTGGCGGCTGTGAGTGTCGAGCGCTTTCTGAGTGTGGCCTACCCTCTATGGTACAAGACCCGGCCAAGGCCAGGACAGGCAGGTCTGGTCAGCGCAGCCTGCTGGCTCCTGGCTGCCAGCCACTGCAGTGTGGTCTACGTCACCGAATTATCTTCAGGCTCTGGCCACAACGTGAGTACCAATGGGACCTGTTACCTGGAGTTCCAGGAGTACCAGCTGGCCATTCTCCTGCCTGTCCGACTGGAGATGGCTGTGGTTCTTTTTGGAGTGCCCCTGCTCATCACCAGCTACTGCTACAGCCGCCTGGTGTGGATCCTTAGCAAAGGAGCAAGCCATTACCGGCAGAGGAGAGTGGCAGGGCTTGTGGCAGCCACACTCCTCAACTTCCTTGTCTGCTTCGGACCCTACAATGTGTCCCACGTCGTGGGCTATATCCAGGGTGAAAGTCCAGGATGGAGAGGCTATGTGCTGCTACTCAGCACCCTGAACTCCTGCATCGATCCCCTTGTCTATTACTTCTCATCATCTGGGTTCCAAGCCGAGTTTCAGAGGCTGCTGAAGAGGTTGGCAGGGGTCTGGAGCTCTGGCAGGAGGGAGGGTAGTGAGGAATTAAAGGTCATGCGGGAAGGCAAGGGGAACCTGCGGGAATCGTCCAAGGTAGACAACAGGTAGTAGACTGTAGGAGGGCTGTGGAACTGGGGGCCAGCTGGCCTGGGCTAGAAGCTGGGTTTTCTGAAAGAAGGAAGATTCCGATCTCAAGTCAAGCAGGACCTCTGAGTGGCAGGCTGGGAGCTGATGTGGCCCGGGAGTTGAGCAACCCCCAGCCTTTCTACAGCTGTGCTCACCAAGGCCCACCTCTTGATCTCCCCACACTGCCCTCCCTCTTGTCGTCTCACACACACCATTAATTAACTCTGGGAAGCAGTCAGGGTGAGAGACTGCTATGGGGTAGAATAAGATTTGTGTGGCAGTTGCCAGCTCCTGTGCTTTTCTGAGAGCAAAGAAGGAGTTAAAAGGGGTGAGCAGAGTCTGAGGGGGCTGCCTGGTGGCTTAGGACAAGGGAGGGGAAGAACCCACCCCTCAGAGCTGCTCCCACTGGTAGTCTGCAGTCTGGGAAACAGGGCTGGCAGCCATTTCAGGACTCTAGGCATGAGGGAGCGTCCTGCTCTCACATGGGCTTTTCTAAGACGCTTGTGTTGCTGAATAAATCCATATCTTCAGAGACATTTATGTAAAATGCCAGAAGAAAAATTACTCAAATAAATTTGATAGCAAGCAAAAGAGAATGGTGTTTCTTGATTCTCCTGGCTTTTCTTGTGATGTACGGGGATTAGGTGGAATTAGGGGATGGAAGGATAAAACAGCTTGACCCTGGGAGAGGATCTGGTCAGGAGGAATAAAAATAATAGATAACCTCTCTTCTTCAATCCTCTCAATAGCCACACGGTAGGTACTACGATTAGCCTCATTTTACAGATGAGGAGCAAACACATAGAGGTGGAGTCTCTTGCTGGAGATGCCATAGTTGATAAGTAAATGAAGCAGGATATGAAGCTGGAATTATCTGCCTCTGAAACCCATGCTCCCAACCCATTCTGCTGTTCTGCCTGCGCTGTGTAACATCCGCTGTCACCTGGACCCCAAAGCCAGAAGAGGCAGCCTTGCCAGAGTACAAATGTAGACAGTTTGTGATGAAAACTATAACTAGATGCAAACCAGATCAACTATCTGGGTTGGTAGAACCTCTTCCCAGTAAAGAAGCCATCTGGAAAAAAAATAAATTTTATTAATAATAATAAATGAAGATAATTAGCATGGTTGACCTCAGGTTACTGAAAAGACCTGTATCTTCTTAGGAGCTATTTTCTTCTTTCTTTCTTTTTTTTTATGCGGGTGAGTCATCCTGGGTTGAGTGGTCTGCGTGTACATCTTGTTAACTATTGGGCTGAGAGCCAGCCCCTGGGGGTACATTTTATTCCAGGTGCAGAATGTATTCCAGGGCCATAGTACTGGGGGTCTCATCAGATTCCATTTGACCCAGAAGGCTGGCAGTTCCAACCCACCAGCCACTCCTCAGAAGGAAGATGGGGCAATCTACTTCTGTAGTGATACTGCCTTGGAAACCCAAGGAGGGGTTGCTATGAGTCGGGTCTGACTCGACGGCACACAACAACATTGAGTTTTTGGATTTTGTTCCATGTTTTCCCTCCCACTCTATCCAGGATCTCCAGATTTGATCCTTTCCTGACTGGTTGGCATTGGTAGCCGGGCACCATCTAGTTCTTCTGGTCTTGAGGGCCATCGTGCCCTAGGGCTGAATCGCTTCCAAATGCCCCCCCCCCTTTTTTTTTTTCATTCCTCTTTGCTTCTGATGCTAGGAGACCATTAGCTGCATCTTAGATGGCCACTTGAAAGCTTTTAAGACCCCAGTTGCTATTCACCAATGTAGGATGCAGAACAAAGCTTTTACGTATTTTGTTGTGCCAATTGAGTCTGGTGTCCCCCAGTACTATGGTCCTGAGAAGGTAGATCTATTGGATCTCTCTCCCATAGTGTCTGGGTGTCTGACTTCTATTGTTTCTGTAAGGATTGCAGGTATTTTGTATCACCGGTGTCTGCGCAAGATTAGCCTCAGCTGAATCTATCCTTGTTCTAGAGTATACCCCTGTTCACTGACCTCCATCTGATCCTCTCAGGCATTTATGTGTTTATCTGTAGCCTGGTGTTTGGTGTTAATGGTAATGGAGTATTGTGGGCACACTGGTTGGTATTAGCAACTGTCATCTGTCTCTTATGTGCACAATTCGGTGTCATCCTCAGCCTTGCCAGAGTACAAATGTACAAATACAGACAGTTCATGATGAAAACTACAACAAGATGCAAAGCAGATCAACTATCTGGGTTGGTAGATCCTCTTCTCAGTAAAGAAGCCATCTTGAAAAGAAAAAAAAACTTTATTATTAATAATAAACTAAGATAATTAGTATGGTTGACCTCAGGTTACTGCAAAGACCTGTATCTTCTTAGGAGCTATTTTCATTGAAATGTGTCATTTAGTTGGAATTGACTCAACAGCAGCGGGTTTGGTTTGGTTACTGGTCATTTAGTAAATAGAGAGATAAAGCCATGAGCTGTCTTCTATCCCACAGCTCATCTGACTGTCCCAAGGCACTGAGCTGCCCTGGCAACTGGTAAGCAATTGGTGCTAACAAGAGCCTACATGGCTTAGAAAGGGAACAAGGGTGACATAAATGAAGTATCACATGGAGCATTCCATTCAACCCCAGAACTAGTAATGAGGATCCAAAGCTGAGGACAAAGAGGAGTTGAAAACCCTACATTCTAAAAAGAGTCACAAACAATGGTCGTCTGACCCCTCCCCCAGAGTTTATTAAGATGAATAAGTGGCAATGTAACTGGCTTTGCTGTCCCAATCATCACCTAGCACCACACCCACCCCAGTTCATATAAACCAAAGACTGAGGAGGAGGTGGGAACTCTGGTGGTGTAGTGCCTAAGGCATTTGACTGCTAACCAGAAGGTTGGTGGTTCAAACCCACCAGCCACTCCTCAGAAGGAATATTGGGCAATCTACTTCCGTAGAGATACCGCTTCAGAAACAAGGAAATAAGGAGGGATCACTGTTAGTCGTTATGAGTTGGAAACAACTCAAGGGCAGTGAGTTTAAGGAGGAGGTGGGGCAGATGTTAAGTCATCAGAGGCTGAGACAATCATCTAGGTGGTCGTAAGGGGAGTCGTAGCCATTTTCATATCTCTTAGAATTAAGGGAAAAGGGATCTCCGAGAATGGGCTTGCTCACAAGAAGAGGAGGTGCGTTTCTGTGGCTTGTAGCCCTGTGCCTGTCTAGGCAGGGGGAAGGAGAATGGCAGAGAAACAGCAGAGTGAGCATTTGCATGTGAGCAATGGAATGCCCTGCACTCTCACCAGAGCAAGCAAGTGTGAGTCTCCCATGGGTGAGGGGATTACAGACAAGGCAAAAATTCTGGGGATGTTAGGAGAGGGATTGGATCTCCCAAAACAGGGGCCAGAATTCACATTTTAGCTGAAAAAGAGAGCAAGTACTTGGGACTTACAGAGGACGCCAAAAGCTATTCAAAACTCACTCACCAAACTCACTGCCATTGAGTCAGTTCTGACTCATAGTGTTCCCAGCTCCCTTTATGGAAGCAGATCTCCCCATCTTCCTTCTGTAGAGCAGCTGGTGGGTTTGAACCACTGACCTTCTGGTTAGCAGCCAAATGCCTTATCCACTGAAAACAAAACAAAACAAAAAAACTAAAGTCTCTGCCATAGAGTTGATTCAACTCATAGCAACCCCTCTTGGGATTCTGAGGCGGTATCTCTATGGAAGTAGACTGCCCAGTCTTCCTTCTGAGGAATGGCTGGTAGGTTTGAACCATCAGCCTTCCAGTTAGTGATCAAATGCCTTAGGCACTACACCACCAGAGCTCCTTAAAAGCTACTCAATATTAGCTAAAGTACTCTTTCTCAACTGTTTTTTTTTTTTTGGCCTAATTTCCCTCTCAAGGAGATTTTTTTTTTTTTTTTCCCCTCCTTCCTACTGACTACCTCCCCTCCTGGCCCAGGATATTTTAATACCATAGATATACTGTGTCTATGTGTTCACCAGAGTCAGGTTTAGTACCTTGCTGCAGCAAGAGAAGGAGCTCTGGTGGTGTAGTGCCTAAGGCATTTGACTGCTAACCAGAAGGCTGGAGGTTCAAACCTTCCAGTCACTCCTCAGAAAGAAGGTTGGGCAATCTATTTCCATAGTGATACCACCTCGGAAACCCAGGGAGGGATCGATCGCTATGAGTTGGATCCCACTCCACGGCAATGAATTTGTTTTTTTTTTTTTTTTGGCAACAAAGACCCTGCTAGAGGAAGCATGGGCATCTACAAAGGCTATTGCTGGAGTTGGGGTCAAGGTGGAGTTCAGGTGAAATTGATATAAAGCCGTACTTAACAGGCTCAAAGCACAGCAGGGCTGTGTGTAAAAAGGTCAACACCAGGCTGGGCAGAGAAGTGAATCAAGTTCTGTTTTTTGGGGAAGTACAAAGTAAAGATAAAGCAAGAATGTTGTGCCTAGAAACTCCTTATCTGAGGCTCTGGTGGGGCGGAAGTCAAAGCTGCTTCTCTGTGTCAAAGGAACTCAGATTTTCCAAGCAGGAATGGGAGGTTAAACTAACAAAAACCATTTTTAAAGCTTAGGAGGATATTGGGAGGAACGAACTGATGACCATCAAAGAGGAGGAACTCTTTTCCCTTCCAGAAGGAGGGAGTCTCCTTCCCCAAAACCTGAAGCAGCACAAGCCAGGACAATAGGTCTAAGGGTAGACCTGACCCATCCCTGCCCCAGGTTCCCAAGGCCAGGTCAAGTCTAACATTGCAGAGGAATGAGGAGAAAATGAGAAGTTTTAAATCACCAAATGCGACCAGAACCCTAGGGAAGTGATCCAAGAAACTGGCATAAATGGTTCTATAAGCATGATTAAAGATCCAAAACCAAAACCAAACTTACTGCCATCGAGTCAATTCTGACTCATAGTGACCCCCACTGGGTTTCCAAGGCTGTAAATCTTTAAGGAAGTAGATCATCCCATCTTCCTTTTGCAGAGCGGCTGGTGGGTTTGAATCGCTGACCTTCTGGT